GAGAAGGGCAACAGAGATGATCCAGGGATGGAACAGCTTCCATACAAGGAGAGACTAAGATTAGGGCTGTTCATCTTAGAAAAGAGACGACTAAGGGTAGAATGATATGAAGGCTATAAAATCATGACTGGCATGGAAAAAGGGTTAGCGACCCTTTCCCAAAATAAACACTCCAATTCAATTAATCAGCAGCAGGCTTAATACAAGGAAGAGCAAGTACTTTTCGCATAAAGCACAACTCATGTGTGGAACTCATTGCCAAGGGATGCTGTGATGGCCAAAAGTATAACTGGGTTCATGGAGGATGAAGTCCATCAATGGCTATTAGACAAGATAGTCGGGGACGCAACCCCACACATGGAGTACCCTAAACCTCTGACTACTGGGGGTGGGAGGGGGAGAATCACTCCGTAGTTGCGCTGTTCTAAATGCTCCCCCGAAGCGTTGGTATGGGCCACTGTCAGAGACCGGCTACTGGGGAAGACGGACCATTGGTCTGACGCAGGGCAGCAGATCGTCTAACGGAGACGATGCGATGTGAATCGATGCGGGCTCACAGTGGATCAGCAAAGCAGAGCCCTTTCTGGACGCTGTCTCCTTGAGCCCCAAATTCCAAGCTTTCATGGGGGGGGGGGAATAATTTTTAAAATGAAGCCTCTAGTCTCACGGCTGTGAAATAAAATTAAAAAAATCTCAGAGCCACGTGTAACTGATGCCTGCCTGAGGCAATGTCTACATTTACAGCAGTGTGCTGAGTACAGGCACTATACACACAGCGCCGCGCCGCAGTGAAAGGCTCTGGCCAAGGGGAGGCAGCGGGACACGACTCTGCTAAAAGCAGCAGTGGGAGGCACTGCTTGGCTTCTATACAGCCACGGAGAGGACAAACCTGGGGGTTCAGGTGGGTCCGGCACTCTACAGTACTCTACTCACCTAAACCCCATGTCTCACCGTCTACACACTTTGTACCTGGCTCGCTGGGCGTGCAGCATCTGCTACTCCACAGCCTGAGTTGGCCACTGTCTTTAACGGCTCTGCAAAACCCCGGGCCATTTTTTTCATAGATTTATAGATTCTAAGGCCAGAAGAGACCGTTGTGATCATCTAGCCTGGCCTCCGGCACAGCACAGGCCAGAGACGTGCTCCAGAATAATTCCTAGAGCAGATGTATTAGAGAAACATCCTATCTTGGTTTAAAAATTGGCAGGGATGGAGAATCCACCCTGACCCTTGGTAAATTGTTCCCATGGTTAATTACCCTAAATCTATGCCTTACTGCCCATCTGAATTTGTCCAGCTTCAACTTCCAGCCATTAGATCATGTTAGACCTTCCTCTGCTACATGGAAGAGCCCATTATTCAATATTTGTTGCCATGTAGGTACTTACAGACTGCAATCAAGTCACCCCTTAACCTCTGTTAAGCTAATGGGCCGTTCACTCTGAAGTCTAATGACAAACAATTTATCAAAGCAAGAAAGAGGAGGAACCACTATATTATGAAGATCCACCATGAGTGGACTCACACTGGTGTCAAATGGCTGGAGCTCGGTTTGTGGGCGGAGCTTGGGAGGGTACCACTACTTGCATCCCCTCCCACACCCTGATTCAGCCTTCAAAGGGAGTCAACGGCCCCGGATGCCATGGAGAGAGGGATGCATGAAGATCTGAGCCTTGGGTTTGCAAGTGCTCTGGTCCCACGCCCCAGGCAACGCACAACATAGATAACAGGACAGACACACCAATGCTGTACAGTTACGGCCAGTGATTTATTGTCATCAGTATTCAAAGTAAAAATAAGAGACCCTGTCTGGGTGGAGGTGCCAGCTGATCCCAGCTCAGGGGACCTGCCCAGCTGCATCTGTTTCCCATCTCACAGGACATGTCCAAACCCCACCTTGAGCCCCAGTGCAGCATCCTTCCCCGGCACAGAAATGTCGCCATACAGGTCCCCCCTAAAACTTCTTGCCCTTGCTCAGTTTGTTGCGACGCCAGGTGTTGTGTTTCCGCAGGAGCCTCCAGTACTGGGGTGTCTCGGGGTCCAGCTCCTCCAGTGTTTTGGGGGGACCGAGGTGCATCTGGAAGAGCCTGGGGACCAATGCACAGGAGAGTGAGTTCCCAGGCCAGGTGGAATCCCTGAATCCTGACCCAGCCGAAGGGACGCAGCAGCCTCTCAGGTTCCGGCTGGGCTCCTGGCCTCATGCAGTCCCTTGCTAGCTAGCACGCCTCGTCATTTAAAGCGCCCCAAGGCTAGCCATGGTCACCAGAGCTGGGCCAAATTTTTTGCACAAAACTTTTTTTTTCGGTGAAAAATGCAGATTCAGCTACACTGAAAAGTTTCACAAACTCGCACCAAATTGCTTTGGTTGGGAAAAATGATCCCATTTCATTTCCACCTTTTCGAAACAAAATGTTTTGATTTTTTTGGTTCAAAGCGAGGTGGCATTTCCAGCTTTCCTTTCATTAAATAATAAAAAACGTTGAGAAACAGACAAGATCAAACCAAAATGTTTTGTTCCATCTGAAATGAATATTTTTCCTGCTTCTCAGAATTACCAGCAAACCAGAAACTCCCCTTACTTGTCCAGCCCTGCTGGTCACCCCCCGACGGATGGGGGAGGAAGGACTCTCTGCTCAGGGCCTAATCCCACAAACAGACGGGACTAAGCACTGGCAGGGTCGGGCCCTCTGAGGCCACAGGGGGGACGCTGCCCGGTTCTGTAGGGGGCCGTGGGTGCCGGGATATAGCAATATTGCAGGTGGCTAGAGTCAGACACTGACTCAAGTGCAGGGGTGCCAGCGTGGGGGGGACACACCTTTGTAGAGGGGGTGACAGCTCTGCGCATTTATTATTTCTATTCTGGTAGCGCTTAGGAGCCCCATGGTGCTATAGGGGCTCTACATTATTGATTAGGTGTATTATGGTAGCGCTGAGGCGCCCCAGCTGTGGCCCAAGCCCCCGCTGTGCTAGGGCCGCACAAACACACAACAAAGCACCCGGTCCCTGCCCCAGGGAGCTCACAACCTGAGTTATTCAGCACCTTGCTCTCCCCATAGCACCTTCCAGCTGTGGGGCACAATATAGCACAACCCATGTTAGGGACTGGGGCAGTCAGGTCCAAGGTCTCGCAGGGAGTCAGGGATGGAGCCAGCAATGGAACCCAGCAGTCCTGGCTCCCAGGACCCTGCTCTAACCACTAGTCCAGCGTTTCCCAAACTTTTTTGGCCACGGAACACTTTTTAGCCTATTACGGAACACTTATAATATTATTTTGTAGTCGTTAAAAAATGCGTTATTTATGTTCAAATATATTTTATTTTATAAAACAAAGCAAAAATACAAATTTAAAATAACTTGAACTAACAATTTCTAACTGGAAAGCGCGTATAAGGTAGTACAAAAATCAAGTGCAAGAGTCTTTCACGGAACACCTGTTCACATCGTGCGGAACACAGTTTGGGAAACGCTGCACTAGTCCCATGTGCCTTGAGTGGCTGGGAGAGGGCAGATCAGGCATCACCCACCAATCAGGATACTCAGAGTCGTCCTTCAGAGCCACCTCCGGGCCCTGTCTGTAGAAGTTCACTCCCATGGCGTGCGTGGTGAGCAGCACGGGGTCCTTGCACACCTCTGGGCCTTTCATCTCCTCCTTACTGAAGCCTTTCCCTTTGGCCTTCGCCACTGCAGAGACAAGCACAGACATCAGCCCAGAGTCCGGTCACCTCGGCGCTGGGGGGAGACACCGGACTATTACGGGGAGCAGCAATGGTGCTACCAAATTCCTCTGCCTGCGACTTCCACATCCCAGGGGGCAGAGACCAAACGCTCTCGCTACACAAGTGATCAGCTTTGGAGGCACGTCCACTGACTGGGAAAACCCCAAATGCTCCACAACTGCCCCACTGGACTCTCTCGCTTTGACTCCCCATAAGCCCAGCCCACCGCAACGCAAGGAGCAGAATCCTATGAATTTCTGACGTGCCCGTCATCGTGATATCAAGGCAGCTCTCAGTCCAGTTAGGGTCACATTCTCTCCCTGAGATTCCAGGCCACTGTGTCGCAAAACAATGAGCCTCTCTTGTGGGGGCAGTCGGAGTGGGCATATTAAACCCGCACCATGCTGATGTCCAAACACGCTTGGGAAGACCTCAGCACAGAGCAAAATGGGCATCAATCTACAGTGCTCATGTGATGCCATCACTATAGTACGTGACCCCTCACAATCTGTAGTGTATTTATCTCCCCAATGCCCCGTGAGGCAGGACAGGCCTATGGACCCCCCTTTTCCAGGTGAGGAACCGAGGCTGGCCCGGGGTCACACAGGAGGTCTCTGGCTCCCAGGTCTCCTGAATCCATGGATAGTGCCCCAACTGCTGGGCCAATCCTACCTCCCCAATGAGGTTGGTATTATGGATTTGCAACATGGGGAAACTGAGGCAGAGAAAGGGAAAGAGAAACTCGCCCGAGAGGCTGCAGGAACAGAACCCAGGAGTCCTGACCCCCGGCTTGCACCCAGGGCAGATGTCCCTCCCCCCCGGGCAGGGTGGATCTCGGAGGCACGGGATTGCTAGGGAAGAAAACCCGGCCAAGGCTGCGCCGGGGGCCAGGAGGACACAGCCACACACTGGAAACGCTGCTGGGCCCCGCTGCCCAGCGCTGGGGGCCCCAGGGGGTGCCGGGAGCCGGGCCCCCCCGACTAAGCCCGGAGTCTGGGGTCCCGCGCCCAGCTGAGTCCCGGCCACTCAGCGCACCCCAGGGCCCGCGCTCACCTGCTTTCTTGGCATAGCCATTGGCCCGCACCCTGCAGGGAGCCGGGGCGGCGCCCAGGCAGCGCCCGGCCCCGAGAGCCCGCACAAGCGCCCGGGCGGCCATGGGCCCCACTCGCAGCTGCACACGCGGGGCTCCGCTCCGGCCTGCGGCCCGCGCACCGCCGGGCAGGCCCGGGGCAGGCTGGGAATTGCAGTCCGGGAGAGAACAGAGAGCATGCTGGGAGGTGTAGTTCATTTACTCCCCTCCCCTCCGCTGGGCAGGCGGGAGGTGGGGAAAGTCTCTGTCAATGGCCCAAACTCCATTTCGTGGAAATCTGACTGCACTAATACTGGGGTAGGGTGACCAGACAGCGAATGTGAAAAATCGGGACGGGGTGGGGGGTAATAGGAGCCTATATAAGAAAAAGACCCAAAAATCGGGACTGTCCCTATAAAATCGGGACATCTGGTCACCCTATACTGGGGGGAGGGTCCGAGCATTACTACTATAATTACTGTACGGCTCAGACTCCTCGGTACTCATCGCTAATACTTAGTACTGTCGCTGCGCTCACGGATGATTTTCTAAAAAATCTGCTCTAGGCATTATTTCAGGGCAGTTTTCTGGCCTGTGTGATACAGGTCAGACTAAGATGATCACCATGGTCCCTTCTGGCCTTGGAATCTATAACACTGTTACAGTAATTATTAAAACAATTACCAGATTTTAGTTCTGCTTTAACTGCAAAATGCAATGCAACTACGGAGTGGCAAGAACACCTTCATTTGTCATGATTACTTATGCTATTTATTATGAATGTCATTATTATTATTATTATTTTACTCAAGTGGAATGTCATAATAATAGCTTGCACTCATTAATTCATCATTATTATGATCCATGCATGTGAAGAAGTGAGGTTTTTTACCCACGAAAGCTTATGCGCAAATAAATCTGTTAGTCTTTAAGGTGCTACCGGACTCCTCATTGTTTTTGTGGCTACAGACTAACACAGCTACCCCCTGATACTTGACATTATTATTTAATTTATTGCATCTAGTGCTGCAAACTCTCAGTGCAGGGGACTGGACTAGATGACTTATCGAGGTCCCTTCTAGTCCTACACTTCTACAATTTTATCAGGAGTTTCATGATATTTGGGGTTTTGCTTAAAGCCCCAGCTCCCAGAGTCATGTGATTACATGAGACTCTCAGCTTATGTTAACTGAAAAAAAGGATGTTTCTGGCCCTCGTGGTCGCAGGGGACAGCTTGAAAATGAACCTTAAAGGTGCAAACACCAGGAAGCAAATACGGAGAAGCTACAATTTATTATTTTTTAAAATCTCATGATTTTTAAGCCACCCCCACCATTTGTCATTGCTTAGCAATACAAGCACCCAAAGCCTGATCCTGCAAACACTGGCACTTGTGCGTGAATTTACTGGTAAGAATATAGTCCTGTTGGATCAATGGGCCTACTCACGCATCTAAGCACTTGCAGGATTAGAACAAGAGCGCAAATCAGATTCTAGTTAGGAATAATCCTGGCCCCTTGCCCGCTCCAAATACTTATGCAAGTAAGTTCACGCTCCTGAGCAGACCTCTGGAGTAGCATTTCAGTCCTCTAGAGACTAAACTGTAGCATGCTGCACAGGGCCGGCTCTGGCTTTTTCGCCGCCCCAGGCGAAAAAGCCTCCGGCCGCCC